GAAGATCACAAAGGTGAAAACGATGATTTTGTTTTTTTTTTTTTAATTTGAATATAAAAAAATTATATTAATATTAAATGATCGAATATCCGGTAAATATGGCAACAGATGCGAAACAAGACTATCTTAAAAATTTGAAGAATTTTGAAAATTTAGAAAAAAATATGAAAATTTAAAACAATATTTTTTAGAATTGTTAAACAAAGAATTGTCAAAAGAATTTTCAAAATTTTAATCAATTTTTTCTAGGTTGCATAGTCTTAAATTTTAATCAATTTTTCCTCGAATTTTTTTCGAGTTGACGCCTGAAGGGAACATAAAATCTCGTTTTAGGCAGATAGAAATATTCAAAAAAAGAAATATGTCAAAAAAAGAAATATTCTAAAGAAAATTTTATTATAAATTTCAGAATAAACTGTTTGTCTAGGCTTCATAATTTTTAAGAGAATTTTATTCGAAATTTATAAATTAAAAGAGAATATTATATGTTTACAGCTAAATTTAACACGTTTCAAATATATGTCAAAATCTCCATGAAAACTTCACTATTTGTGAAAAGTGTCAATGGAGGAAATATTCTGCATCAAAATTCACTATGGCTTGCCATTGGAAATAAATATTTACATTCATCCTATATCAGGAAAAAAATGCTATCAATGTTGCCAAAAAATCTAAAATTTCTCCTATTTTTTTGACTAATTTTTCCTCGGCCATTTTTCGAATTGACACCTGAAAGTAATATAAAATCACGTTTTTGGCAGATAGTGTCAATAGAAGAAATGTTATACACAAAATTTCGCTATAAATCTCAAAATAAACTATTTGTCTAGGTTTAATAGTTTTCAAGAAAATTATATTCGAAATTTATAAATTAAAAGAGAAAATTATGTGTTTACGTTTTTTACATCTGAATAAACACGTTTCCAATCTAAGCCAAAATCTCCATAACTACTTCACTCTTTGTGAAAAGTGTCAATGGAGCAAATATTCTCCATCAAATTTCACTATGGGTCACCATTGGATAGAAATCCCTATTGCCATTCTATATCTAGGAAAAAATGCTATCGATATTCCCAAAAAAAAATCGAAAATGTTTTCTAATTTTTTTTGATCAATTTTTTCTCGGGCTTTTTTTGAGTTGACGCCTGAAAGTAACATAAAATCACATTTTTGGCGATCGATGTCAAAAGAAGAAATATTCTATACAAAATTTCGATATGAGACTCAGAATAAATTATTTATCTAGGCTTAATAGTTTTCCTAGAAAATTTCTTTCGAAATGTATGTACTTCAAGTGAAAATTGTGTGTTTGTTTTGTTTTGCTGTTAATTTAACACATTTTCAATCCAAGCCAAAATCTCCATGAATGCTTCACTGTTTGTGAAAAGTGTCAATGGAGCAAATATTCTCCATCAAATTTCACTATGGGTCACCATTGGAAAGAAATTTCTATATTCATTCTATATCTAGAAAAAAATTCTATCAATGTTCCCAAAAAAAAAGAAAATATTTCCTAATTTTTTTTTTTTTTTTTTGATCAATTTTTCCTCGGCCATTTTTCAAATTGACGCCTGAAAGTACCATAAAATCACGTTTTTGGCAGATGGTGTCAATAGAAGAAATGTTCTACACAAAATTTTACTTTAAATCTCAGAATAAAACATTTATCTATGTTTAAAGGTTTCCTAGAAAATTCCATTCGAAATTTTTGTACTTCAAGTGAAAATTGTGTGTTTGCTTTGTTTTGCTGTTAATTTAACATATTTTTAATCCAAGCCAAAATCTCCATGAATGCTTCACTATTTGTGAAAAGTGTCAATGGAGGAAAAATTCTTCATCAAATTTTACTATGGGTCACCATTGGTAAGAAATTCCTATAACCATTCTATATCTAGAAAAAAATTCTATCAATGTTGCAAAAAATATATAGAGAATACATGGGTCCAGTTTTGGCTAGATCCAACTCGCAAGAGATGGAGATATTTAACATATTTATTTTTTTATGTTTTTTTTAATTATTCTAAAATGCCCTTGTTCCACAATTTTTATAAAAGAAAAAATATATATATATTTATACTCAATATAATTATAAAATTGATTTAAAAAAAATATTTTTAATTGTTTTTGTCGCATTGTTGTGGCGTCATAATCAACTATCAATTTACAAGGAAAGCTGTTATCAATTTGATTGATTGAAACTATTTTGAATATGTAATCAATGGATTTGTGTTTTTATTTGTAAAGTCACTATGGAATCAATTGAATACTAGAACACGTGAAAAAAAATATTTCACTTGAAATGTGTTTTTATTTGGAATAGTTGGGAAAATTTTATTATTTAAAAAAAATATTTTTTTCAAAAAATGAAAATTAAAATAATTTTTATTTTATTTTTTTTTTTTATTTATTTATTTATTTATTTTTTTTTTTTTTTTTTTTGAAAATATATGCATTATTTTTTAAATTAAATTTTTTTCAAATTTAATTGAATAAAATTAAAAAAAAATAATAATTATTTTAATTATAATTATTTCCTTTTCAAAAAAGTACATTTTTGAAAAATTTGTTCTCAATATATTTTTTGGCCTTTGTTGACAATAATTTTTATCAAATATTTTTATGTGGTATATGTCTGTTCAAAATATTGTAAATTTTCAATATATATATTTTTTTTTTTTTTTTTTTAAATAATATTTTTATTTTTTTTTATTAATTAATTTCTGAATAGTTTGAATGCTAGAAAACGTGAAAAAATATTTCTCTTTAAATGTGTTTTTTAAATAGTTCAAAAAATGTTATTATTTAAAAAAAAAATATTTCAAAATTTGAAAATATATGCATTATTTTTTAAATTAGAAAATTTTTCAATTTTTATTGAATACTAGAACACGTAATAAAATATTTCACTTGAAATGTTTTTTTTTTTTTATTGGGATAAGGTAGATCGGAAAATTAAAAAAAAATTAATTATTTTGTTTTCAGAAAAAAAAATATTTTTGAAAATTTTTTTTTTTCAATAAATTTTTTGGTCTTTGTTGACAATAAATTTTTTATTAATATTTTTTTATTGATATTAATTTTTTTTTTTTTCAAAAATTTGAATTTTATTTTTTGAATTTTATTTTTTAGTCTTTCTTTAGTTAAGTTTTTAATAGTTTGAATGGTAGAACACATGAAAAAATTTTTCACGTGAAATGTGTTTTTATTTGGAAAAGTTCGGAATATTTTATTATTAAAAAAAAAATTCAAAATATACAAAAAAAAATTAAAAAATTATAACGATTTAATTTAATTTTTTTCTTAAAATTAATTTTTTTCCAAATTCAATTGAATACTAGAATACGCGAAAGAAATATTTCACTTGAATTTTTTATTGGGATTAGTTAGATCGTAAAATTAAAAAAAAAAATTATTATCTTTTTTCAAAAATAAACATTTTTGAAAAATTTGTTCCCAATATATTTTATGGTCTTTGTTGACAAAAAATTTTTTTATTTAAATTAAAAATTAAATTTTTTAAAAAATTGTGAGGTTTCTTAAAAATATTCCAAATTTTCAATATTTTTTTCAAAATCTTTTTTTATTCGTTTTTTATAGTTTGAGTGCAGAAATCGTGTAAAAATATTTCACTTAAAATTTGTTTTCTATTGGTGCAGTTCGTAAAATGTTATTATTTTTAAAAATATTTTTTTTTTCCAAAATTTTCAAAAAAAAATTAAACCTTTTTTTGAAGACATATGCTTTCATTTTTTTTTTTCTTAAAATATTTTTTTTTCAAATTTAATTGAATACTAGAAAACGTGAAAAAAAAATATTCCACCGGAAATGTAATTTTTTAATTGGAATAGTTCATAAAATGTTATTATTTTGAAAAATATTTTTTTTCCAAAATTGTCAAAATAAATGTTAAATCTTTTTTATATTTTTTTTTTCTTAAAAATAAATTTTCTTAAAATTTAATAGAATATTAGATCACGTGAAAAAATATTTCAACTGAAATGTGTTTTTTTTTTTAGTTGGAATAGTTTGTAAAATTTTATAATTTTTTTAAATATTTTTTCAATCATATTTTTTTGGAAAATTTGTTTTCAATATATAATTAGATTTGTCGTTGCTGAAAATATATATTTTTAATTTTTTTTTTTCAAATCTTTTAATGTGTGTCTCTTAAAAATATTGTAAATGTTCAAAATTTTTGTTTTCAAAATTACTTTTTTATTAGTTTTTTAATTGATTTTAGAATTGTTTGAATACTTGAACACGTGAAAAAAAGATTTCACTTAAAATGTGGTTTTATTTGGAAAACAAAAAAATTAAATCATTTTTTATGATTTTTTTTTTTTTTTTTTTTTTTGAAGAAATATGCTTTAAATTTTTTCTTAAAATAATTTTTTCAAATTTAATTGAATACTAGAACATGTGAAAGAAATATTTCACCTGAAATGTGTTTTTTTCATTAAAAACTATTCCAAAAAAAATATAATTTTTAAAAATATTTTTTTCAAACATATTTTTCTGAAAAATTTGTTTACAATATATTTATTAAATTAGATTTGTCTTTGCTGAAAATATTTTTTTTTTTAATTTTTTTTCAAAATTTTTAATGTGGCATAATATGTTTTCAAATTTATTTTTCATAGTTTTTATAACTAATTTAATAATTGTTTAAATACTTGAACACTTGAAAAAAATGTTCACTTAAAATGTGTTTTTATTTAGAATAGTTCGTAAAAGTTTATTATTTTTAAAACATTCTATTTAAAAATTAGTTTTCAATAATTTTTTTTTTTCAGATTTGTCTTTGCTGAAAATATATTTTTTATTTTTTTTGTTTTTCTTCAAATTAATTTTTTTTTTTTTCAATATTTCTATATTGGTATACTTGCGAAGTCTCCTAAAAATATTGTAAATTTACAATATTATTTTTAATTATTTTTTTATATATTTTTTTTAAATTAATTTATGTAAACAATTTTTTTAACTTAATTTTTCTCACTCACTTTTTATGTGTATCCAAAATGGTTTTAATTAATTTCCAAATAAATTGTTTTTGTATTTAATCCTAGAGACAGTTTCACCAATCAGAAACTGCAGGATATTTTGTCTTTTTTTCAAATTTTTTTTTCTTAATTCTTATCACACTTCACAAGTTCTTTAGTAGAACACCTCGATTCTGGAGGGGGTGTTCCAAAACCGAGCTCTTTTTTCCAAGAGGGAGAAACGTATGCGTACACGACCAGAGCAAAAGCTCAACTGACTAACGCATTGCCAAGATCGAGTCTAATATATAAATGAAATCCAATGGATTTTCAATACGAACAATGTCTAACGAAGATCCCCACAGACATATGCTCAGCGCCACACACGGACACACACTCACTAACTCAACCATATACTCACTGAGCAAGAAAGACAAGATACGAAGTAAAGAAACAATATCAGTCAGCATCATCATAATGAGATAGAAAACAATTCACAAATCTCATTGGGAAAGAGAGACAAAGAGATGCGTTGAGAGGCTAGATGATGATAATGGAGCATGAGATCGGTTGTTTTGGTTTGCACACACACACACACACCCAGATGGGTAATATTGATGCCTATATTTTGTTCTTAATCTTGCCGGTAACTCAAAGCTTAAGTTGTTGTTATCAGATTTTCGAATTTTTTTTTTTTTTTTCATAATTTTTTGGGAAATTCAAAACAACTTCTTTTAATTGAGAATCGTTTTTTAGTTCTAGGAACACAAAAAAAATTAGCAATAACGGGGGATTTTGAGTTATTACGCGCAAGGTGAAGATGAAAATCCAGTCCTAGCTTGTGGCCAAGACGAATTGGCATGTGAGTCACAAGGGATGGGAATTCGAAGAAAAATTAATTAATTAAAAAAAAATAATATAAAAATTTATAAAATATAAAATTTTTTTTTTTTAAATTTTCAAATTATAAAAGGTATAAAAATACAGGGTGAGAGAAAAAACTGCAACAAAGTCAAACGCCATTATTTTTACATTTTTTTTAAATTTTATTCAAATTAGAAGTTCGGAAATAGCATCAAATTTTAAAATAAGTTTAAAATTGTTTTGAATTGGTCAACTTTGGCAGGAATTATGGCTTTCAAACGGTCAATGAAACCGTCACACGCTGCCCGAATATTGCTCTGCGGTTGCTTCTGCTGGACAACGAATTTTATCTCATCGGAGAGAGAGAAAAACCAATTCGACAGTTCACCACTCGGCACTCCGCCCAGTTCTGCACTTTTGGGAATTTCAATTACTTTCAAATTGGCCCGAGCTCATTTTCCGAATGGAATATTGCGATATGTTAAGCTCACGAGCCATTTTTGGGCCATTTCCGCTGATTTCCGTCCCTCCGCCTGCTGGTTGGTGCAAACCATAACTCCCGAAGGGATTATCCGATTTGGTCCAAACTTGGTACATCAGAATATTATTATCAAACATAGATTGAGTTCGGAGATGGGCAATATCGGTCCACTCCTTCTGGTACCTCTCCCACAAAAGGTCGTAATTTTCAAAAAATAAATAATTTACTGCACAGAACGAGAAACGCATATCCGATTTTGTTCCAACTTTGCAAATCCTAATATTTGCGTCAGTTCTAGGTTAGGTGCGAAAATGGACAATATTGGTCCACTCCATCTAGGACCTCCCCCATAAAGGGTCAACATTATGAAGGTTATAACTCTTATAAAATGTGATGTAAAGTTCCGATTGTCCTCAAATTTCACACATCCCAATATTTTTAATAAACCAAGGTCTGGTGTGAAAATGGGATATTACGGCGCACTCCTTCTGGTACCTCCCCCACAAAATGTTTCAAATTTTTCAAAGAAAATAATTTACTGCACAGAAAGAGAGGCGATAATCCGATTTAGCTTCAACTTTGCAAATCGCAATATTTGCGTCAGTGCTACGTCAGGTTCGTAGATGGAATATATCGGTTCACTCCTTCTGGTACCTCACCCACAAAGGGTCAAAATTTGGAATAATTATAACTCTTATAAAATTCGAAATAAGCATCCGGTTCTCTTCTTGTTTCACACATCCCATTATTTTTGCTAACACAAAATCTGCTGTGAAGATGGAATATATCGGTACACTCCTTCTGGTACCTCCCCCACAAAGAGTCAAAATTCTGTGAATATCCATGAAGCTAATAAAACGCGAAATTATTATCCGATTCCATTCAGACTTGGTACATTTCAATATTTTCATCAATGCAAGATATGTTATAAAAATGGTAGAGATCGGAAGATTTCTTCTGGTACCTCCCCCACAAAGGGTCAAAGTTTCGAATAACCAACAACACTATAAAACCCGAAATAAGTATCCGATTCTCTTCAAATTTCACACATCTTATTATTTCTACTTACATAAGATCTGCTGTGAAGATGGAATAAATCGGTCAACTCCTTCTGGTGCCTCCCCCACAAAGAATCAAAATTCTGTGAATATCCATGAAGGTCATAAAATGCGAAATTATTATCTGATTCCATTCAGACTTGGCACGTCTCAATATTTCCATCAATGCAAGATATGTTATAAAAATGGTAGAGATCGGAAGATTTCTTCTGGTACCTCCCCCACAAAGAGTCAAAATTCTGTAAATATCAATGAAGCTCATAAAATGCGAAATTATTGTCCGATTCCATTCAGACTTGGTACATCTCAATATTTCCATCAACACAAGATCTGTTACAAAGATGATAGAGATCGGACAATTTCTTCTGGTACCTCCCCCACAAAGAGTCAAAATTCTGTAAATATCAATGAAGCTCATAAAATGCGAAATTATTGTCCGATTCCATTCAGACTTGGTACATCTCAATATTTCCATCAACACAAGATCTGTTACAAAGTTGATATAGATCCGACCATTCCTTCTGGTACCTCCCCCACAAAGGGTCAAAGTTTCGAATAACCAACAACACTATAAAACCCGAAATAAGTATCCGATTCTCTTCAAATTTCACACATCCCATTATTTCTACCAACTGACGATCTGCTGTGAAGATGGAATAAATCGGTCAACTCCTTCTGGTGCCTCCCCCACAAAGAGTCAAAATTCTGTGAATATCCATGAAGGTCATAAAATGCGAAATTATTGTCCGATTCCATTCAGACTTGGCACATCTCAATATTTCCATCAACACAAGATCTGTTATAAAGATGATAGAGATCGGACAATTTCTTCTGGTACCTCCCCCACAAAGAGTCAAAATTCTGTAAATATCAATGAAGCTCATAAAATGCGAAATTATTGTCCGATTCCATTCAGACTTGGTACATCTCAATATTTCCATCAACACAAGATCTGTTATAAAAATGGTAAAGATCGGATCATTCCTTCTGGTATCTCTCCCACAAATCAAGGGTCAATATTAATCTTTGGAGTATTTTTCTTGAAAGTATCTACAAATCCGAAAACATATTTCCCCTCCCCCTCTCCCGCAATAAATTTTACAGCTTATCTACATAAATGGGTTTCGAATTTAGAATATTAATGCCCTTTGTTCAGCAAGAGCTCGGTTGGGATTAGTAACTGAGCCTATAATTCAAGATCTGATCGATTGACTCTGATACTCATCTCTAGCTGTGCGACATTTCGATCAATTAAAACAGTCTACGAAATTTGAATATCAAACACAGTTTTGGCTGGGGATTTTACGTTTGCGTGCCTTTAACACTTCAACTCAGCCGTCAAATGATTCAGAAGAATGACAATCGCGGCAAACGGAACTAATATTAGAATCTTGTGTTTTAAAATATATTCATAATTCATTTGTTTATAAATATAATATTTGTTTTCCATTTTTTATTTTTATTTTGGTTTGTGGTTTTTGTTTCAAGTCGAATCGTTTTGGATGATGATGAGATTTTTTTTTTTTTAAATAGGCAATTATTATAGTTTTGCTAATTTGGAGAAGGGGGGGATCCAGTTCTGTCAATCGTAGCTTGGTAAATACCGCAAATTTTAAATTAAACAGCAATCTGATTCTTTAGAATATTGTGGGTTTTGGATTTTGAGAATTCTCAAAAAAGGTTTATGACATAATTGGAGATTTGAGAAAAAAAAAATGAAAATTAATTAATTAAATTCTCTTTCCTAAAAAAGTCCTTAAAAATTAAAAATTTAAAAAAAAAATCATTTTAATGTTAGGTCTTTGAAAAAATTTTTTAAAAAAAAAAACCACGCAAGTTTTCGGTGTTTGAAAAAATATTTTGAAAAATTCCACGTTGACAATTCTTATTAAAACAAAAAAAAAATATAGAAAATAGAAAAAATATTGAAAAACAATCCACTTTAATATTAGGGATTTTGAAAAAAAAAAACATTTAAATCCAATCAGATATTGGGTCTTTGAAAAAAAAAATAAGAAAAAGAAAATAAAGAAAAATTTATGTTTATAAACCATGTTTATATTAAGTCCTAATAGAATATTTTTAGAAAATGCAATTTCTTTAAAAAATATTTTTAAAAAATGAACTTATTAATGAATCCTTGAAAAAAAAATATTTTAAATAATTTAAAAAATATTTTATATATTTTATAAATTTCAGAAAAATAATCTCCTCGTTAATTTTCGATCTTTAAAAAATATGTAAAAAATTAAAAAAAAAAATTTGGATCTAGGAAAAATATTCATAAAAATCTCATCATTATTTAAAAAAAAAACTATTATTAAAAAAATTTTTATTAATTTTTTTTATTTATTATTATTATTATTTTTTTTTTTTTTTTTTTTTTTTTTTGAAAACATATTATCCTATATTTATATTTTTAGAAATCTAAATTTATATAAAGTCCTTAAAAAATTAAAAAATACATTTTGATGTTAATTTTTTAATAAAAAATATTTTAAGAAAATCCACGGAATTTTAAAAGAAAATAGGTCTTTGAAAAAAAAATTTTAAAGAAAATCTACGAAATTTAAAAAAACCTTTGGAGGTCATTAAGAACAATTAAAAAAAAAAATTACTTTGATGTTTCGTCTTTGAAAAAAATATTTTAAGAAAAACCACGCAAGTATTCGGTGTTTGAAAAAATATTCAAGAATTATAAAAAATCCACGTTAATTTTCGCTTTTTAAAAAATATAAAAAAAAAACTCCAGGGTTCAGAAGAAAAAAGTCCATTAAGTATTGAAAAATTTTTTTTAAAAAATCCTCGTCGGTATTCGATCTTTGAAAAAATGCATGTTTATAAGCCATGTTTATATTAATGCCTAATAGAATATTTTTAG